TATATTCATGGAAAACAATGTTTACCAATTGTTCTTTTCTGATATATTTTATTTTTAAGCGGTGCTGTTTATAGTTTTAAGCAAAATGAAAGCTGACCACAAAAACTGCTGCATGTGCAGAGGGCTGGCATCTCAGCTTCCTAGGGTTCTCCTCCTCATTCTCCTCTCCCCACCCTTGCTGTAATACACTGTTTATTCTCTCCCCACCATGATAGAAGCAGCAAGTTTCCAAGTACTGGAGACAAATGCTAGGTACCTAAAGCATGTGGAACCTGTTAGTGTGTTGTTTTATGGCTTTCTGTTTTTCCTTTGTATCTTTCCTTTTGTGTACACCTTTTGAGAGTACTCATGTCTCTCCTATTTCTTTAGGTTTCATGCTTCCACTTTGAAACCATTGTGCCCTTTTTGTACTATTTATCACATTGAGCTTTTCCAAAGGACCATTTTGGAGATATTCTCTACCCAGGGAAGGAAGGCAGGGCTTTTAAGCCACACCCCCTTCCTCAAGATACTGGGCGAGACTGATGACAGTGATGCTTCAACCATCAGGAATTAATTATCTCATTAAGGAAATCTTTGGATGAGATTTTCCTGGAGCTCAGATTGTAGATTATGACACCCAGAAGAGATTTTGAGGAACTCCTTGATGCCTCTTGCTGTTTTGAGAGATTCTCTTGTCCTACCACTGTTCCCCCTTCCCCACCCTGCTTCAGCTCATATGTGGATGGTACTTTGGGGAACAGTGACTTTCAAGGAAATGGCTTATTGGTTTGATCCTCCATTTTTTTCATCTTATAGTCACTCCAAAGAAAGAAGTCCATATGATATATATGTGTGAAAGTTGAGCCTAATAAGATATGGGGCTTTTATTATTCTTGTTACTATTGGTGCTTATTTCCACTGCTGGTATATAGAAGTGCGGTGGGAGAAGAAAATAGGAGTGTATATTTAGGTCATGTTAAATAAAATGTCTTAGGGAAGGAGGGAGGAAATTAGGAACTGCAGTACCTCCTCACCCAAGGTGTAAGAGTTCTCTTTCCCAATGTAGAAAGAGGAGCATGGTTCCTTGCTATGCCTCACTTTTCCCTTCCTTATACCTGAGGCATCACAGGTTAACCTGGGTTGTGACCTCTCCAAACCTAGCTCTCACATCTGGATGTCTTGATGCACTGCCTATATGTTATAACATCTGTTTCTTTTGCTGAATACTAATAAATTTGGGTTCAGGAGGGAACCCCCATCACTAAAGTGCATTCTTGTGGCTTATTCCACAGCAACATGCCTGGGATCTACAGTTGGTTGGTTTGCCCTAAAGGAAAATTGAGAAACCAAGAAGGTGGGGGAACCCAGCAGAAGAAACAAACCAGAGCTGAAGCAAAGCAAACTTCAGTTTTTCCTTCAGACCAGGCCCTGTATACCAGTCAGATTCTATGTCAATAAATTCACTACCATACCATCTACACATTGATATCTGCCCCTTGTATTCCTGTTGCACTGCCAGGGGCTAACTAGCACTTCTAAA